ATTTCAGACTAGATCTTTCTGAAGAAGTGATGTTTGGGATGAGAACTAAAGGATGAATTAGAAGCCAGCCACATAGAGAGTGGAGGCAAAAGCATTTTAGGTAGAGAGAACTGCCTGTGCAAAGGCCCTGAGGCGGGAAAGTGCTCCATCATTTATCCTTGTTCTGTCTGTTAGGAGTCTATCAGATAACACTACTAAGGTCACATCTAGAGTGTCTGGGACGTTATTAAACACTTAGTAAGTGTTAGTTTTATTCCCTTCCTTCTATGTGATGTTCTTTCCTGTGTTGAAGTCATCCCTTTTGTTCTCTTCTGCAGTCTCATGCTCTGCAGGCTAACTTTCCCTAGTTCCTTCCAGCATTCCTCTGGCACAATCTCTAATGAAATATGCCGTTGGGGAAATGTTCACAAATTATTCTTACAACCTTACATAATAATATCAGGTAAATATATTTTGTGAAGTGTATTGTGTCTTACCAGTCATGATGACCAATCTGATTTTTTTTCCCTGTGTATAGACTCAAGTAAAACTTACACATGTTATTGTTTAAAATATGCCAAATATAAAGACTCACTATTAATCTCATTACTTATCTAGTCATCTTTGTGGTTTTTCTGTCCTTTTATTCAACGCATATTTCTTTTATATATAATTAAAATGAATTGAATGATATAGTGTATTTAATGTATTTAATACCTTTTCATGTCACTGTCTCTGCATTTCCCTGCATGTAATTAAAAACTCGCCTAAGCATTAATTTTAATGGCCACGTCATTCCATTGTATAAGTGAACTAAAGTTTATTTGCCCATTTCTGCTTTGAGCAAAATTTTCACTATTATAAGTAATCATCAAAATTCTTTACATAAAGGCATATTTGGTTTTCAGATTATTTACTTAGGATCGTTTCTCAGAAGTGAGTCAAATGTCATTACTGTTTTTAAATCCCCTGATATGTAAAGACAGAAATTTTATGTGCTTACAGGTGATACCTCTTTTATGGTTCATAGTAGCAGAGATTCAGACTAAAACCCAGGCCTCCTGAGTTCTAGTCCCACACTCCTTTTGCTAGAAATTATAATAAAATAAGATGGTATTTCTTTGTGAACAAAAAAATGGCTTCATTGTTTTAGTCAAGTATCTTTTAAGGTACTTTAGTCACCTCCCAGGAAGGAAGTGTTGTAGGTCATTTAAATAAATTAACACTGTTTGGATAATTCATTTTGTGTTTTAAGGCTGGACATTAAGTCCAGGGAGAGATGATACATACAAGTATGAAAAGTTAAATAATGATATGAAATGTTAACCATATTAAAGGTTTCCGTAAAGAAATACATTATTTAATTTTATTCTCAGCCCTTTGAGCAGTTCAGTAATCACTTACGGAGTGCCTGCCACGTGCCAGGCACTGCTAAGTCCTGGGGTACAAAAATAAAGATCAGTAAGATGTCTGCCTTAAACTTAGTTAGCAGTTCATATTCTAACCTCTTCCCTTGAGGTTCAGATCTAGATTACAAGCTAAACAGTATAACTAATATTGGTACCACTTTTATACACTCAAATGATTTTCCTGTACATCTTCATAGGAGCCTCACAGAACAAGTTTGAGAAGTAATCAGGGCAAAGACACTTGAGTTCGGAGTGTGTGTGGAGCTGGGTTTGTTAGTATTGGTCATGGAATTTGAAATTGGGCCTGATTTCACATTTTTTGTTGGTTCCTCTACGCCATTCCTACTTCCATGATCTCTCTTTCTCTTTTCTTCTTTTTTTTTTGTGAGGAAGACCAGCCCTGAGCTAACATCCGATGCCAATCCTCCTCTTTTTCCAAGGAAGATTGGCCCTGGGCTGACATCCGTGCCCATCTTCCTCTACTTTATATGGGACGCCACCACAGCATGGCTTGACAAGCGGTGTGTCGGTGCGCACCTGGGATCCGAACCTGCGCACCCTTGGGCCACCAAAGCAGAGTGCGCGCACTTAACCACTATGCCACCGGGCCGGCCCCCTCTTTTCTTTTTTTAATTGAGATAAGATTCACATGTAACATTGTGTGAGTTTAAGGTGTACAACGTATTGATTTGATGTCTTTTTATATTGCAAGATGACCTCCATGATCTCTTGACCCCTCAATATCTGAACCACCGAAACAACTTACCCTTTCTCCAAAATTACTTTCTTGAGTTTTTCCTCTCTTCTTGTCTGCTGTTATCCTTCGGTCCTGCTGCAGCCAGAGTATATTTGCTGTCTTGTCAGGGGGTGAAACCCTTCTTTTTATGGCTTTGTGCTTAGGACCAAAAGTTTGGATTACAGCGATCTCCCAATCTTTGTTACTCTTCCCTTTGTTCTTCACCAGATCAAATTCAGGGTTTTCTCCTAATTTGCCTTCCTTAATAAGCCAGAGGGAATCTTATAGATATACATAAGGGATTTTTTTTTCCCTGACCTCCCAGATTTCAAGAGATGTCAGTTCTCATGCCAATTCATACCCTCTTTCCCATGAGTTAGTTTCCTGAGTATCTCCTGTAACACTTGGGTAAGTGGATTGTGTTTAGTTTATGATAGTGAGACTGTTAGTTTGACTTGCTCAGCCATGTTTTCCTCCTTACTAGACATGGTCTTTAAGTCTATCTCTGCAGATTTTAGAGAAAAGGACAAATATTGAAGGTTTAATAAGTTCCATGAGCCCTTTTTCCTCCCTTGCTCTCCTAGCTGTGGGGATAAATAATAGGGTTCTTGTTTCTGTTTGTGCCGCCCTGTCATGCACTGGGTTGTCGTCCCTCTGTACTGACTAGAGGACATGAGGCTAGGGTGGTTGTTTGTGTGTTTGTTTTCCATTTTCCATTTCTTGCAGTAATGGTAAGAAAAATCAAAACAGGTAAATGTTTCTATTTGAGTTAAATTTAAGATGGTTTTTCTTGAGATAGAGTTTGAAGTAGAAGAATCTTCCTTTATTTTCACGTTAAAGGTAGTAATTACTTGATATCTATTTTTACTAGTATACATAGATGTCTGTTATGATAATAGCAAGTTTACATCAGAGTAATGTAATGAAATTAAAGTAATGGAAATTATTTTTGGTTTTGGATTACTTTTTTTTCTTATACAACTGAACCTAGTACTAAATTGGAGCTGCACGAAGTGTGGTTTGAAGCACAGTAACCCAGGTGGAAACAAACATGTCAGGTTTTTAATTAAAATAATTATTTTATCCTCACTGTCCATTAAATAAATTATATGTAGCAAAACCAGAAAAAACTAGAGGTGAGTTTTAATTAAGCATTAACTGGTTTTTGATAAGTTATATTCAACATCCCAATTAGAAGTCTATTCTTCTCCATGTTGTTATTACATTTTCTGTTTTTGCTTTCAACTCGTAGTGTTTAAAATTCAATAAGATGTTAAGAGATAAGCCAGAAATGTAGACTATTACAGAAGCCTAGGAGATTTAGTTAATCTGACCTAGATGTTCTTTTGATGATTGAGGTTTATATGTGAAAACTGTTCTCAATTTCAAAATGAAACATAGGAATATCTGCCGTATAAATCACCTGTCCTGTCAGTGACAGGCAGATTAATCAGCCACGAAAAGGAAGAGTTTGTCATACAGTTGTGCTATTTAGATCTTTGGCATTTGGATCAGCAATAATATTGAAAGTTGTGAGTGAATTGTAGCCCTTACATTTTCCTGTGTTCTAAAGAGGATTATCTAGTATTTTTTCACGGGCTTTTTGTATACAGTTAATGTTGGTTTCATTTTCAATGTAATGCATGTGAAACAAAACAGATAATGTGAGAAAACCCTTGAGTAGAAGTTGTGTGCAAATGTAAATATTAATGATATTTGAGAATATAGTTCAACAATTAATTTATTCGACATTTATTTTTTGTATCTCAAAATGTGGATACTTGCGGTTAGAATGAGAACACTTATCTTCTACTTTACTGATTTTTCTGTCATTCTACCAGAGCTCTGAGATGTTAGTTTCTGCTTCAGTTCTTAATTTAACATTTTACAATATTGTTTTAGGAAATAAAAAATAATGAGGATTTATAAATAAGAGATCAGATTCAAGGGGTACCTGGTTTAGTCGACAAAACTGAGTGGAGAAAGCAGTCAAGGTACCTCCTCTAGACTGGAGCAGCCGGGGCTAATGAGCATGTAGTTTTCTCCTCATAATGCTGTGATTGAAATGTAGTATTTAGTGGTAAAGCCCTCTTACAGATGATGAAAATACTATAGTTGGAATGACAAATCCTTGGAATTATGTGTGAAGCAGTTTGTCTTTTATTTCAGTATCCAAAATGGTAAAATAATTGCTTTGAAGCCAGAGTTATTGACTAAACCGTAGTAATTTCTAATTAAGGATGTAACATACATCTCAATTATTGAAATAAACTAAGACTATGAACTAATTTTAAGTACTTGGCTTGTTTTAAGTACTTAGCTCTTTAAACATTTAGTTTTAGATAGTAAGCAATTATTTGTGGTAGTTAGAATACTCTTAGCACTAAATTTTATAAAACATGTTTCTTTTAAAAATAAAAACCATTAATTTGTTGTTCTAAATTGTTAATAAGTCTGTAACTTATTAATAATTTTTGCTTATGGAATCTATTGGGATCTCTGAAATATATGTTTGTATTTAATTTGACATATTTTGGAGTTGATTTAGTTCATCATTTCAAGGTTTCTTTTTGAACTAAAGAAAGCTTAGCCATTTTAATGATTTAAAATTTATGGAATGAAAATTGACCTGCAAGACAGCATTTTGAAAAAACCGAATGTTCTAGACACAGGTTAAGTATAGGTTACGTTTTATGCTCTAATCTAATCCTACAGGTCTTTGATAACTGTGGGATTAAGCTATAGGTTTCTTTTAGTATGTATGTTTGGGAAGGAGGCAGCAAATTCATTAGAAGGAAAACTGTGTGTCTTTGAGGTAAAGTTAACGTTTAGCTAAAGCCTTACCTTGTGTGCTGTCTGGTTATTGTATTTTACAGACTCCAGGCATTAGAGCTCGGTCTACAAGACTTCAGTGGTTTTGTGATAGATGTATTTCAAGTAATCAGGTTTGTGTTTAATTTCTGGTCTCAAGCACTTCAAACTGTGAGTAGAGAGTAAATGTCCTGTATGTCATATGAGCATTTGGGGATTTCAGGAGATACAGCATTATTAAGAAGCAGTGTTATTTTGTTTGTTTTCCAAATATAAGCAATAGCTTAAGTTTTGTTCCTGAGGTGCAGCAGAGTCCCTAAAAATTTTAATTTGAGCCCTGAAGATTTTAGCTTGATTTATCCTAGTTGTTGGTTTGAGCAGGCTAACCTTGTCTCCTTGACAATTTAAATCTGCCTCAGTCCTTAGTGACCAGAGGAGTCACTTGATGGGAGCCCAGTAGAATTTCTATGTTACCTCTCCTCCAGTGCAGGTATCTTTACACATATCCTGCCAAGTAAAAGCCACAGGGGAACAGGACTATAACGTTTGGGTGGAGAAGTATTCTTATTAATAAATATAGGATATGCTCACTGAGTCCTCCACCCCAAATATCTTTGAATTCTCCAAAATGCACCTTTGTGGAGGTTCCCTCAACTAGGTAATTGTTCATGTTATGTTCTTGCCTCCAAAGAGTCCTTTAGCCCTTTAACTTAAAATAAATTTTTTTTATGTGGTAAAACACATATAAGATAAAATTTATCGTTTTATCCATTTTTAAGTGTACTGTTCAGTGGCGTTCGGTACATTCACATTGTTGTGCTCAGCCCTGTAACTTTTGAAATGAAGTTAATTTGCCCTTTGGGTAAAGCTAATTTGAAGGATTATTCAACTAAGATTTGTCAACTATAAAATATTTCCTTTACACAATCTAGATCCATCTGTTAATCTTATTTTTAAGGTGGAAACTCTAGAAAAATTAGTGGAGCTGACACAGAAGCTATTTGAATGTGATAGAGACCAGCTATACTACAATCTTCTGAAACTATATAGTAAGTAATCTGACTATTCCTCATGTTTTCATTTTGAGGCATTTATGCTGTTGAAGGCAGTGGCAGGAAAGGAGTATCAGGCTTTGAGGAAGCTCCAGGGATTGTCAAATGAACTTATCACAAAATATTATATTATATCACTAGACATTGTACAATCCTTGTAATTTCCTATATTCTTACTGCAGTAATGAGAAGGTGAACAAAATCTTCATCAGAGCCACAGAATTTAATAGGATTTTTTGAGGAGAGACTATTCTTTTTATTTAAATCCTCTAGTAGATTTTTTTATCTGTCACTTCTATTAAATAGGTAACCATCGACATGTTCCTTTGTGTAGATCTTTTTCCAGAAAAATTCATATTGATATACAAACTCATTGCTAAATTATTTATTTTTAATATGATCATATTATAATATAGTTTTGACTCAGTTCTATATGACAAACATTTTTCTACATTCTTTTACCTACAGATGATGACATTAAATGGATATACTAGAATTTACTCAACCAATCTATTATTGCTAGACATGTGACTAGATTCCATTTTTCCATATTATAAAATAACACTGCATTAGTCATCTTTGTACCTTAATCTTTGTTCACATTCTTAATTGTTTCCTTAGACTGATTTTTGTATTCAGGGTTAAAAGTGATTGATGTTTCTGAAATTTTTTATCTCTATTATCAAACAGTGCTCTAATATGTTTATACCAGCTTACACGTCTGGGAACTTTGCAGTCTCTTTTAGGGTATTTGGGTAGAGAAGAACAATGCTTTCTTTTTATTTTCTTCTTAGATGTTTGATCTAGATTTATTGTTCTCTTTTTCTCATGGGAAATTTTTCTTCACCAAACATAGGCAGCAATGAATAAGTTTTAATTCACTTGCCTTTTTGAACTTGTATTTATTTATTATCATTGGAAGCTTTTTCTTACATCTTGATGGTGTAAGTAAAATAAAACTTGGTAGAAAATTTACGTTTCAGTTGTTGGTTGCATTGAACTACACACTTCACAAGGTAGTTCTTAAAACTTGGGCTTGAATGATGGTCAAATTCTGGCACACATTACTGAAGTTGTTATTGAATGTTTGGAATTTAAAAACTTATGTTTTAGGCATTTAGTCCTTAATTTGTGAATTATAACCTGTATTCGAGTGCTAATTCTCCCCCTTCCTTCGCTTTTTCTTCCTTTTGAAAAACTATTTCATGCTTAAATTCTAATTTTATGCAAACTTCAACAAAAAAATAGTGAGTTTATGTATCCAAATGAGTCTCCACATTTAAAGTAGTTCCCATAGAAGACTATATAAACTTGCAGTCAGAAAAAAATCTCTCTGAAGCCCTTTCTGTGCTAGCCATTTAGGTAGGCACTGCAGATATAGAGGCATGCTCTGCAGAAAGAGTTAGACTCTAACCCAGGCTGAGGATACAGGGTGAGAGAACAACTGTAAGAACGTACAAGGTACAGTGGTCTTGCAGGGGACAGAGGGAGGTGGCAGCCTCACAAACTTCTTTTTCCTATGCAGATGACCTTTTGCTGTCGTTTTTTTGAAAAGAAAAACAACTTTTAATTTCATCTTAAAATTTCCTTTAGGGATAAGTAGTCTCTGAGGTTTATTGCCATTTTCTTCTCCTCAATCCCCTCTCTGTTCTGTTGGACACCTCCCTCCAATTTCTTGCTCTATATGTGAGCCCAGTATTTTGAGGCGCTCTATAGCGTGAGGGTGGCTTCTTATGAGGCTGAGGAATCGTTTAAGGGAAGTATACTTTTTAACCCAGTTTATATACTTCCCACCTTCTGTAGTGCTGTAAATAGTGTGGTTGTGATAACCCTAATCCTTCTTTTTCAAAAGAAAAAGCAAGCTGTCGTCTTCTGCGGCCCCCTCTCTTCTTTTTTTGCCCTCTGACTTGGACCACTAGTTAAATATGCTAAATAATTTATAAAGCACTGTGGACTCAATTTATTTGAAAAGGAACATATGGTATGGAATGATATATAAAATGTGGTCCTATTATACTTGAAAAGTCCATATTTTGGATTGTGGGTTTCTGAGAAAATAATTTGTTTGACTACTGGAATTTTTTATGAGCTCGTTCTTTTTCGTGATATAATTTTAGCCCTTCAAACGGGTTGCCTTAATTATTTTGGGGTATTTGTTGAAGAGCAGTTTTGCTTTGTTGATTTAGAACAGCGCCTTTGACACACACGCTCAATTTTGTCATGATTACACTGTACTACAGAAACATGCACGAAACAGAGGTACATTGCTCAATGGTTCACGACAGCCAGCATTCATGTAACTTATCTACATTAAGAAATAGAAAGTATAACTCTTTTCACCCTTTAAATACTAGCTATATTGGATCTGCTTTCGTTTTTTTACTTAATTCTATAGAGTATGATGTTCATAGGTGATCTGTTACAAGAATCTGTCATAATTCAAACTTCAGTTCTATCCTTTCTAGTACATTTAGACCTTTTTCATTGTGATAGTCTGCCAAATTAGCTACTAAGACCTACAACAAACGTTACATGAATGAAACAGCTCCCTCACCTGCAAAAGGAATATGCTATTGTTTCTGAATGACAATATTTTTAGCTTCTTACCTAACATTTTCTTATATTCTAAACACTTCAACTTCTTCTTTACATGTACAAAGCAAAGATAGTTTATTCTTTCTATACATAAGGTACTCTATCCAAAAATAGAGCTGCCTTACATTCATAAATTCTTCAAATCTATTTTTAAAAACCTGGCGTTTACAACCTTAGCATTTATTCTACCTCAGAAGTTTATTTATGTGCTACGTTCTTCAGGTACTTTTGGCCATTGGCATTTCTTTTCACACGGTGTGCTCTTTTTTTCCCCTCCGTTATTACACAAACAAAACGTGAATGTATTCTAAATTACTAAAGACTCAAGCAGTACAATAGTGTACAGAGCAAAATGTGAAATTGTCATTGTGTCCATCCCTCAGAGGTAACGTGTCAATTGGCCATGCTTCCAATTCTCTGTCTCTCCATTGGTATCCATGTATTTTTTACCTATTATTTTGATTGTCTTATACTCTGTATGTTTCATACCCTACATTGTGTCCTGTGGCTTTCTTTTTTACTTAATATGAAATAAATTCACAGGAAAAGATAAATGCTTGCTTTTTCTCCCTTTAATTACCAGTTTTAAAGTGCTGGTGTCCTTGGCGCCTCCAAAGTTGAGCGTTGATTTTTTTTTTTTTTAATTTGTATTTGTGTTTTAATTTGTTGCAATCATTATTCTTTTTGGTGCTCAAATTGTCCCATCTTTGGCAGTGGGAACTCCTTCACATTGGCTCCTACATCATTTGACACACCCCATTAGCCTTCTATAGTTCTGTTTCCAGGCGAAACAAGTCAGTCCAGGCTTATGTGGCATAATTCCTGTCTCAGACCTGTAGTGCTTATCTTAGAGGGGCATGATATTTAGAGACCATATAAGCTGATTGACAAATGGGGAATTTGGAAATTGCCCTGTCTTATCAGTAATATGTAAAAACTTATCAGCTTTATAATTAAAACCCTGAACCAGAATCTCTTAGTTTAATACCAGCGAGACTGTGTGTGAAGCGCCAACTATTGTTCCACGCTAGTCATATAGCTATAAAATGTAGCCCCACAACTGTGTCTGTTCTTGTGAAATTCACTAATAGTGTCAAAGTTTTTTGGTTTTATAGCTTAAGAGTTCTCAGAGATCATTTGGTAGTCACTCTTGTTCTTTAAAGAGTTCCAGGAAAGTGATGGGATTATAGAGGCAGAGTGTCCATTCCCTGGTCACAGCCCAGGTTTGTGGCTTTTTGATTCTTCAAATAACAAGTATGGTTGTTGTTGTCTTGGTAGAGGAATTCTAAGTCCCAGAGGGATATTATGAAAGAAAGGCCTGGCCTGTCTGTGCCTGTCTGAGGTTTCACGCAGCCGCAGATTCTGGCACACTAACTAGTTTGATTACCTCACATTTTTATGTATTTTGTGCTCTAGGTACAGTTCCAAGAAATTTTTTCCCTTAAAAATAAAATATATATATGTATATATATGTAAATGAGTTGTTTCATGCTATATATACTGTCTAATTCTCACCTGTATTTTGAAATATTTTCTTGTTATAAGTTGCTAGTCCATTTGAATTTTTGTAGTATCTTGTCTTCCCAAAGTAAAAGCTTTTCATGTACTTTGTGCCTTTTTTAAAAGAAGAAAATTATCTTCCCAGAGTTTTTTTAGTCTGAAGGCACCGAGTTGTACATCATCCACCCACCTTCTCTTCAGTGTTTGGAATAGTTACGTTAGCTTAAAAATTAATCTCTTTAAAAAGCGCCTTAGCAGTGCTGTTACCAGCTCTTGGAAACCTCCCCTAACTCTGTCTTCCACAGTCCATAGTACCCTTTGGCAGGGAACAGAAGTATTCCATATTTCCCCTTCTACACAATTAAAGATTCTGGGGCTTGGGTTTTTGTTTTTAATTTATTTAATCAGATAGTTTTATGCATTCACATACTTGAAAAATTATTCTTGAATTTTACATTACATGAGAACATTTTAATGAAGAAAAAGCATAATTAGTTCATGAGAGTCTTGTTTTGAAATTTTGTTGTAAATTTAAAGATTAGACTGATTTTATTATTTAAGTATGTGTAAAATCACTCTGAACTTTAGATTAATTTCTACTATTTGGGCTACCTTTTAGTATATTCTGTGTTAGAGTTCAGGCTACAATCTATGTATGACCTGGGGAAATTTTCCTACTTATTACCTTTTCTTGATTGTAAGTTTTGACAGTGTGTGAATGTTTTGTTTTTGTTCTGTGAGTGTTTTACTTCCAGGAGTCGTTAGTTATCAAATTAGCTTTTCAATTTTAAGGGGCAGAAATCTAGGAAAATCCCATTTGTTTTAGTATTTTGGTATTTTTGAGAAACAAATATACTCCTGTTTTCTGGAACATTTGTGCTCTGAAACAAACAGCGCTTCCTAGAGCTGACCATATGCAATCGAGATATTCCTTATTCATATTTGCAAACTTTAAAAAAGAACACATTTAAAGCAGTATTTCTTTGTGCTTAATAGTTGTATTGAACTTAATGTCATATGACATTTTTCATGTTTCGCTCTAGTTTTTCACAAGCAGAAATTTATTAAATTAAATGACTTGACTTTTCTCTTTTCAAAACCCATTGGAATGTTTAAAAATAAAGTCTTGATTCTTAGGTTTTTGCTATTTGTGAAGACTAGGTTACCACATAGAAGGAACTAGATTTTTCAGTATGAGGGAATCTGCCTATTTCCTTCCAATAAACCTCCTGTTGCTCTGTAATACTTAGTCTTATGGCATTATCTGTTGAGATAAGAAATCTATCACACATTGTCATAGAAATTCTTCAAGTCAGCAGAAGAGACAGAATTCTCCCTACTCAACTAAGTGAAAATGTTTTGTTGATTTGTCACTTGTGAAGAAAATCATACATTTCCACACTTTCGCTCATTGTAGACCTTCAGCTGTGTATCATACCATATACGTGTATCCATCATCTTTCCAAAGGCTAACGAGCATAGTTGAATTGTTACCTATTTCTCATTTTGATTTCAGCAGTGGGCAATTTCTCAGTTACTTTAAAAAGACAGATTTTCGTCAACGTGATTTCAAAAGTGTTTCATAAAGTGTGGGGGTTTTTTTGGTTGTTTTTTGATAGGTAAGAATTTCTATGGTTTAAAATTCAAAAGGTACAAAAAGGTACACAGAAAGAAGTCTTCTCACCTTTGGTCCTCAGTCACCCTGTTCCTTTCCCTGGAGGCAATATTTGGAGTAATGCTTCCTTCAATATCAAATAAGAAAAAGTTCTAAATAGTTTCATGAATTCTACTTAGTATGTTCATTAATTTCTGTTTAACCCAATTTTGCAGAAGTAAATGGTGACTGGCAAAGAGCTGATGCTGTCTGGAATAAAATGCAAGAAGAGAATATTATTCCTCGTGGGAAGACGTTAAGATTATTAGCAGAAATCCTTAGAAACAGTAATCAGGAGGTTCCATTTGATGTACCTGAGGTAATTTGTTTTTAAGTGTAAGGATAAAAGATCTTTTTATCAGTGTAACTTCAGGTCATAGATTAGCCCAGTTTTATACTGGAAAGATCACTGTTACCAGTTTTTGTTTTAACTGAATAATTTTCTTTTTAAGTTGTGGTATGAGGATGAAAAACGTTCTCTGAATTCTTCATCACCCTCACCTGAGGAAACTGATATCCAGAAAGATCTACTGAATGCCTGCCGATCGAAAAAAAGCAAAGGTAAACAGATCCACTGGGGTCTTCTTTCTCATAGCAGCATGGAGTCTAAGCCCGATGAGTTAGAAGTGCTCTAGGATAGATCTGGAACTTAAATTGTATATATTAATTATTTTCTTTCATTCTTTAAATTACAAGAACATTTTGGGGCAATTGGAAAAATTTAAGTATTGATTTAGCAGGTAAAATTAAGAAATTACTCTCTTTTTTATTAGATATGATAATGATATTATGAGTTATAGGAAAATATCCTTAAATTTTGAGATCTATAGTGAAGTGTTGAGAGATGGAAAAAAATCAATATTTTTGTAGTTTGTTTTAAAATACTTAAGCCATAAAGAACAAAGATAAAACAAATCTGGCAAAATGTTAATATTATTTATCAGATGTAGATAATGGGTATATGGAGGGGTTCATTACACTATTCTTTATATTTTTCTGTACATTTGAAATTTTTCACAATAAAAATTAAAAGAGGTGTGTATTTTCTCAAAAATTATTCTTTGAAAATAGCATGATCATGAATGTGTTTTGGCAAATATAGTTATTATATATTTGACTTTTCTTTGAAAGCAAAAGTGATGAGGGTATTAACCACCATCCTAGGGAGTGTTGAAATGATCGAGCGTTCTCTCTCAAGGTCGGAGGCAGGACATGAGCTCTGTTTCTTGCCCTTCTTCCCTTTCTCTAGTGGTAAACGTTCCTGAAGGCATGCCTACCTCTATTATGACTACTTGAAAATTTTTATGACCATCTTGAACCCTCTGTTACAAGCTTGCCTATTGCATTCTAGTTATTTTCATTTAGACTTCGTTGTTCTGTCCCCAAATCATGTATTACTATTGTTTCCTTTATTTTTGTTAATTTTTCTGCATAGAATGCTACCGTTGTCTTTTATTCCTTCAGTTTTTGTGTGGATTTTCATGTATACTATATGAATTTAACCATTATGCAGCAGATTTTTTTTCATTTTAACATTGACAATTTTGTGCTCTGTTCAATAGAAAAGAATCAATTTAGAAATTTGTAGAACCTCTTAATTTCTTGACTTAACTAGAAATTTTGTGACACTGACAAAGTGTGTGAACTAAGAATAAGCTAAGCTCTTATGTTTTCTCTATCATGCAGAGTAACTTTTTATTCTTTCTGAGTTATTTTCCTTTGCTGCGTATTCAGTCAAAAATCCTTGAGTCTTTTACCGTATATCTGTTAAACCTAAATATAAAAATTATCATTATCAATACTGTTTAAATATTCTAGTGGAATTTTGATTTGACTGAAATGAATATAAGGTTAGTATATAGTTTGTGTTTAAAGATTCCAGAGCTCCTTAATATATTGCCTTTTTAAAATTCTTGTTTTTATTTAAATAAAAACATTTAACCAGTTAACTAACTAAATATAATGCAATGTTTGTTATAGATGTAGAGATATACCCCGATTCTAGTTTTAATATATAGTTTACATTTATCAAATTGGTTTCATCCTGTTAATTCTTCAGAGTTTTTAGTTACTTTTGTGTATATCTCATGATTTGAATGCTTAGCAAATTATGAATACTTTGAAAATTGAATGGCTTGCATTAGCACTTTATCAAATTTTTTATAGTTCAGTATACTCAAAAGGATGTTGTAACTTTCGCACCAGAAACAAATCTGTGGTGAATGAATGAGTTTGGTACATTACAATAGCATTTTTTTAAAAACAGAGAATAGTAAACACAGCCATACCAATTTCATGTGAAGACTACAATTTTAGAAAACAACTAGTAAGATTTTCTAGATTATTTTCTTGATCTGAAATATTCAAATTGTGCTTACTGTATATTTTCATTCAGCAAACTGGTGAACTATTATATATGCTTGTTGGGAAGTAGACAATAATTGCATTACATCTTAACTTCTTAGCTCCCTTAAAAGGAAAATATATTGCATTTGTATTGAATGCTAGATTCTGTCTGTTCTTCTTAGTTAAGATGCAATTATTAATGTCATATTTTTTCTTTCTCGTTTTCTCTGCATTTAGCTTGAAAGGATAACTTAAGTTTTTGATACTGTCACTGCAGTTTAATTGGAGGGCTAATGCAAACTCCCCTAACTTGTATATACAAGCGTAATTTCTGCTTGTTCAGAAACCTTTAAAGTAGCTCAGAATGTTCTTCTGAGCGTTAATATTATGTTCATTCCTAGGTGCATGTTCTGTATTTCCTTACATTGAGCTTTATATCCTTAGGAGGTTGTACGTGATAGTTCACTTGTGCCCCATCTTTACTGTAATTTGTTTATACACACCAGAGAGTGGATTGTAGTTTCAGTTGGATGTTTATAGCCAGGCAGTTTTATTTGAGAAAAGTAAGTGACTGAAAAGTGTACTTACTTGTCTTTTGGTAACATCTTTTCATTCACTGACAGTTATTGTGAACAAGTGAAATAAAACTGTTAATCAGTCAAACAAATGTTGCTTAGTTTACTTGTTAGATATCTGTATATTTGAAAATTGTATGTTTTTGTATAAGTCCTGTCGAAGCCAAATAATTTGATCTCCTAATTTTAGAATTATAGGCTATATTCACTTTAATGCTTTTGTGTTGAAATGTTAACCATTGTACCACCCACTTATAGATTAAAGATTGCTTGAAAATGAATCTTTTGCTCCCCTCAATCTAAATTATACCTCTGGTTTATTTGGACTTTAGCACACATATTGCAATTTATTTTGAAACTGGTACCATCTTTTAACGAACAGATTCAGAAGAGCTATTTTTTGCTTTTATTGGCATGAAAATAATTTATTGACTTTAGAAAGCTAGTATAAAACATAATTTTAAAAGGAAGCCCTTTCAGGGACCATCCATTTGGATTAAATAGTAGTTTCCAAAACTGTCACTTTGTTTTTTAAAGATTAGAAGAGTGACAGCATCTACTTGCTCGGTCAGTGTGTGTCTCTGTAGAGTGGTACAGTGGGTGAGTATTAAAAGAAACAAATATTTAGGTTTGGGGCTTGGTTTTAGGGTTTTTTTCCCTCCTTTTGCCATTTCAGAATAATGTCATCTCATTTTTTGTTGTTTTTCTCTTCTTCATAGATGCATATCATATTTTCCTAAAAGCACAAAAGCGAAACGTTGTGTTTAACAGTGAAACTTATACCAGTCTTATAAAATTACTGTTGACAAAGGATACTTTTACACAAGCAATGCAAGTAAAAGATTTGTAAGTATTAGTCCATTTATTAAACCTCTCACTTAAAAAAAATGTCGGCTATCATTAGGATTTTTCTGATGATGTGTTGTATAGCAGTTGCTTAATTATCCTCAGCTACCCAGAAAAATCATAGGAAATGGCTCTCTAATTTTATGGGTTTTTTTTTAAACTATAAAAAATACAACCTTTACTGGCTCTGCGCAATGCAGTACATTTTATTTACCTTGTATAACCTCGCAACTTATTTATGATGTCCATATACGGGAAAGTAATTTTTTTATATCGTGTTTCTTATTCAGCAGCTAGACCCATGTACGTTTTGTGATGGGAGCAGCCTGAAGTAATGAAGACAGCAAGGGTTTCAGTCTTACTTGAAATCTCTATGACCTTGGGAAAATTTCCTCCTCTCTCTGAGCCTCAAGTTTTCTTCTATATGATGAGGGGATGTTAATAAAACATACATCAAGGGTTTCTTCTAGGTATTGAAGGAGATAGAGTGAAGTAGAGAAAAATATAGGTTCTCAGCACATTGTAAATGCCTTTTGTCTTTCCCCTTCTGTTGTTTTTTTGTTTGATTTTGGATTTTTTTTTTAATCTGTTTGGTTGTGGTGGTAGTGGTTTTGTCTCTGGCTAGTTCCCTAGAGTAAAGTACTTTGTAAATCAGAATAAGAATAAAGTTTTCTTACCTGGTGTGTCAGTTAACTGACTCTGTTGTCTTATTCTCAAGGAGTTATCTTGAAAAGTTGAGTTATTAATAAGAAAGGGCCTAGAAAGGAGTAGATCAAGGACACCTGTTCTGGAACGTATGCTTGTTCTGGTGATGAGTCAGTAGCTTTATTTCATTGGCAAAGGTCACCCACTTCCTAGTATATTGTGAGTTCTGAAATAATCTCTCTTGGCTAATTTTTGGCTTTTAGAATTTTTAAGTCACAGCACTTTTGGAATACTAGAATCCTGAATAGAAAATGCATGCTTGCCATTCTTGCAATTTGCTGGAAGATTTGGTGTTAATACTAGTGTTATGTTAAAGTTATGCACTATAGGGCCATATTTATTGTTTGTATTTCAGTACATTTGAAAAATGTGTATGAGTGTATTTGTGGAAATATATATACACACACACACACAGAGTACATATATTCATCTATATGCATATATGTCCAATATAAATATAAGTACAGTATATATATGGAGATTTATATAAATACACACACTATATATATATCTGTCTCTCTTCATGGTCTTGAATCATTGTTTGTATGTCTTGATATAGGACAGTCATACTAAGACTTTTAAGTTCAGGTTTTTAATGTATTCTGTGTCTCATTTGTGTGTTTACTCAGTTGCTAATTAAATTTCCTATCCCTAGAATACTCAGTGCCCCCTCAATTAGTGACTTGGAAAATTTGACATTAGGGCCGGCCCGGTGGCTTAGCAGTTAAGTGCGCGCGCTCCGCTGCTGGCGGCCTGGGTTCGGATCCCGGGCGCGCGCCGACGCACCGCTTCTCCGGCCATGCTGATGCCGCGTCCCACATACAGCAACTAGAATGAGGTGCAGCTATGACATACAACATACAACAATCTACTAGGGCTTTGGGGGGGAATAAAATAAAATAAAATCTTTAAAAAAAAAAAAGAAAATTTGACATTGAACAGCATCCTGTCATCTGTAACCACTGAAGTCATCAAGGGGTGTGGGTTTTTCCCTAAAATTACTTTTCTCAGACAATTATTATCTAAACCCTATTCCAACATTATCCATAATAATCAAAGATGTTCTGAAGCAACAGAGGAAAGAAAAGCAGAAAAAAGAGAGGAACATTTTGTGTTCAGAATTGGGTATAAGTAAGTGAGGGGGTAGAAGCAAAGAAGGAAAATTCTTTTAAAAACTTTTAATACTGAGGTTGGTCACAAAGACCTCTGAAATACTTCCCAAAAGTACCGATGATAATTTTTTCATTTTAATCAGGCTTGTTCTACAACAGTGAGCCTTACATTCTGGTAGCATAAAAAGATTCCCTATAGCCCACCCCAAAGGTTCTGATTGGGCTGATCTGGTGTGAGGCCCAGGAATTTGCATTTTACTAAACACCCCAGGTGATTGAAGAATCACGTCTTAAACATTTTGATCACATAACATTAATAGTGAATTGTACTATTGTACTAATGTATCACACATAAGTGTGTTGTAAAACATACTCAAAAAATAGCAATTTTTCAGAAGATAAGATTTAAAAATAGAGGTTTAAATGTTTTCTTGTCTCACCCTAGAGCATTCATGCAGTGTGCGTACCTTTCATTGAAGACCACTGATCTAGAGTAGTTTTTCAAACTGCGGTTTGTGACCAATTAGTGGGTCATGGAATCTTTTTAGTGGGACAGAAACAACATTTTCTTAAATGAAATAGAATAGAAAATATCAAAGTACTTCATGTAGTAAAGATATTATTTTGTGAAAGTTTTATTTCAGCTATATAAGCATGTATATATTTGTGCACTGGTATGTACTGTAAAACATCATTTCTTACTATGTCTGACTGTGTGAAAGGCCTTTTATTTCCCCTTCTGTCCACAACCCGTAAAATGTAGGTTTATCTTCTTTCCTTCCCTCTCTCTCTAGATCTTCATGAAACCTTTCTGTACTCTTGAGGGCACTTCATCTTAGCTGTGGTGTCCTTCCTGGAGTGTTTTGTAGCTGCCTTCCTCATGTGGCTGTGTGGGCCCAAGAGAATCCTAGATGCAAAGCCTTAGAGTGCCCAGAGGCACCTAATCTGGGGATGGGATGTACATCCTTTCCCTTGAACCACTAAAATGTTATATCTAACTATGAGGAATTGTATCTTGGGTTAGATCTACATTGGGTACTTTTGAAAATAACTCTGGACGGGGAATTCGGAAGTGGAAGTTGGAGTTCAGTTTTCCACCTAATTACCTGTGTTTCTGGAGGAATGTCGTCCAGCTTCTCTGGATTCATTTCCTAGTTCATTGCCAGTATTAGACTAAATCCTCTCTCCCCCTTCCAGCTCTGTATCAGTGATCAGAGTAGAAAAGAATTGTTGCTTTTTTTTATAGGCGTCCTTATTGTATAATATGGTGTGACCAAATGAGCCACTGTAGCAAGTGACTGTACCCCCAAGTGTTATTCTGGCACTATTACACTTGGTCCATAAAAAGCAGTGGGTTGTTAGAATTACCTACGTGATGCCACTTGTTCAATCTTAAGAGCAATAGTTTTCCCTATGAACTAAAACATGCAGTCTTTGTTTTAGCTATACCTGTGCTGTCTCTAGTGTTGCAGATTCACTTGACCTCTACTGAGATTTCCTCAATTTTATTAACAAGATCATTTAACCTTCCCAACAAGAAAGGGAACGTCAAAAGTAATAGTAACAACTGCCTTTAAAAATTTTTAAAGAGACTAACTTTCTTTGATTTTTAGCTAGAGTTACAACATTTCCTCGTGTTTCAAAATAAAAATTTAAATATGGTGAATTCTTTCAAGGGAGGGGAATTGCTTATTCAAAGAGCAGTAAGGGATATAAATTATTTTAAATCTCTGATGACAATAAACTGTTCTTAGGGCATTTGAGAATCATGTAACAATAGCTCTGCTTTACCTTTTAAGAATAGCTCTTCATTTTCTCTTGTCCCTACTAGCGTCCTATTTCATTCTATCTAGAAATAATGCTAAATCAATCACAGATGGTTTTTACTGGATTGGCCAGTTTTTGTTATTCAAAGTAAGATAAATTATAAACACCGACTAATGTCCTATGTGCATGTTATGTAAGTACAATCCATAGACCGGTCATTGCTCTGAAATCTCTAATGTGAAATTTCCCCTGTAATGCTATCCTCTTTGGTTAAGACAGATTAAGTTTCACAGTTGATTGTAAGTTAGAAGATTGATACCCCTTTACCTCTGTAATTTTTTCCTTTATTTTAGCACTTCTAAAAATGAAAAGAAAATGTCTAGAATCTGTATTGTACGATCCAATAGCCACTAGCCATATGTGCCTATTTAAATTAATAAATTAAAATTAAAGATAATTAAGATTTCCACCCCTTCATCACAGTAGCCATATAACCACATGTGGCTTAGTGGCTACTCTGTTGGACAGCATGGGTAAAGAATATTTCCATTATCACAGGAAGTTTGATTTGACAGCTCTGGACTAGATTTTTTCCAAAAGGAAAGATGAAAAGTATGGGTTAGGAGTAAACTTCTTTTATTGTATTGTACAAATGAGTCCAATGCAAGGATCTCTACTAGTAACTTTTTGTGGTTTTTCACTTTTTGCCAATTTGGAATACATTTTGGTTGTTATTGGTCAGTTTCTACGTATCTAAAATATATATGTTCAGTATATAATCTGGGGAGAATTTGTTTCTTGCTATTTATGCCCACTTTCATATTTGTTTTGAATAGGCAGCTTCTTGAGATAGGAACAGATTATTGAAAGAAAATATTCTGTGTTTTGAGGTTTTCGAAAGGTTTATAAGTGTAAACATTGTCAGTTAAAAGAGAAGTTGTGTTACTTCATGGTTTTAATGAATATTAGGTAGTATTTTCAAGTAAACATGGTATAATACATGTAATAATGTTTGCATAAGAAGTGAGCTTTTTTTAGTAGTGTTTACTGTTTATTTAATCATGCTAAAGATTGAGAAAGTAAATCCTTTATTTTATGCAGTTTATAGTCTCGTGCACGAGTTGTTGACTTAAGAGCTTTGACAGATGGGACAAAGGAAAAAAGTCACACTGAGCAATGGGTGCTTTGGTGGGATTAAGAGGATCGGTCGGGGGATAAGAAAATCCTGTACCGCCCAGGACTACAGGGGCGAACCTCAGAGGCTGAAAGTGACTGAGAGCGTGGGCATGTCACGGTGTCTTTGGAGGATTTTCTTGGGATTGATGAGAATAATTTCGCAGTCACCCTGCTTTCCTCGCAATCTGCTCAGCTTAGATGTTCATGTCGGCGGGCCGAGGCTGGCAGCAAGATCATCACTGAGCTTGATAAGGCAAATGGCAGCAACTGCTTTTGCTCCTTTGACCTGTGGAGATTTCCTAATCCGGAGATGAATGCTGGGGGCATTAAGGATGCTGAAATTTCATCACGGGAGATGTGCAAACAATGTAGCAAACAGAAATCATCTCTGGCGAGGGTGTTTTTCTTTTTTTTTTATCCTGTAGGTTTTAGTGATAAATAAAGCGATTTGTTGCTCTTGAGTTTTAAAAAGTTGGGGGGTGAGGTTCGTTTCGAATTTAAGGCTGAGACAAGATTGTTGTGGGAAATTTTTAATTTTATTGTAACAGTGGTTTTAGTTCTGTAGTATGTTCACCTTTAAAAACTGTACCTATCTAGATGACAGAAATTTGAAAATTAATCAACCAAATGATATGGTGTTAGTAATATGCGTTAGTTTATATTTAAAATATACAGTGCTGAAAATAAATGTTTCATTTTTGTTGCCGAAAGAATAGTTTTACATTTTATAATTATGGTGAATGTAGAAAAAAGAGGAAAAAGTATCCAGCTTAGGATACAGCAGAACAATACAGGGCATGCAGTTATTTTAGTCATCTAATATGTCAGCATTCAAGAATCTGAACCGATTGTTTAAAAAAAATCTTGTACTTTGTTTCTTTTGTTGCTCATTTCCAACTTTGTCATCTGTCAGAATGCAAAAAAAAATTATCCTTCTATAACCATTGACAGGATAACACAAAAGCTGTCTTCAGGTCGATATTTTGCAGCAATATTTTTAACATACGAACAGTAGTTTTTATAATTTCACCTTGGTGCTCAACCATTTATTATCGTATCAGAAGCATGTCAGTAATTCCTTTCTAAATGTCTGCTTCTTTTAGTGCTGAGACCCACATCAAGGGCTTCACACTGAACGATGCTGCCAACAGCCTCCTCATCATAACGCAAGTTAGGCGGGATTATTTGAAAGGTATGTCACAATGCTTGACCTTTACGTCACATTAATGCCTCTGCAGATTTTTCTTGTAACGCCCTTCGAATACTTGGATAAAGGAGTCCATTTAGCAAATTACCTGCTTATCAAGAGCCTTTTGTGGTAGCTGAGAGACGTAAATTACTGTACATGCATTTATAATACAGCGTGAATATGAATGTACTTGTCATTTGACCACTTAGTCCAGTTTCCATTCCATTTAACACAAGATGGGTTTTCTTAAGATGAATCACAGCTCTTCAGACATGCAAAATTTGTGTTCCAGAACGAGAGAAAGTACAGGCTTTCAAGTGCGTTAAAATTCACAGCACAAGTCATTTTGCTTTGGAAATTAACATACTTTAGAGCATCTGAAACAATTCCCAGCAGTTGTTTCTTGCGTTTTGTGTTGGTTGTGTGTGAGATAGCAAATGAGTTAAATTGAGTGTTAAATGTGCGGGATCATGCACCAAATGATTATAATATTGATTTTTAAAACTTAATCTAATACTTTTTTAATAGTTCGTAACACCAACAGCAATAAAATATGGTGTTTGTTTGGCGTTTTTAAATTAATATTGAGAGGATAAGACCAGAAGGACGTGGAGATGACTTTGGGGAGGGTTGGGATGGAGGCTGTTTATGGGTTTGCGGAGGGATGGATTTGGATCTAGGGGTCTGTGAATGAGCTCCCGAGGGGAAAAATGATGAATTGCTTAAATTTAGGTAAGCATCATTTCATGTTTAGTTTTACATTTGAATTAGTCAATTCAGTAACACCACAGTTTTGCCAGTACAACAAAACCCACTTAGGAAATCTTTAAGCAAGGTTGAAAAAGCTCTAACTGTTAAATATGTTACCTTGTTTATTCCTCAGTCTGTAATAGTGGTGTTATTCCTCACGTGCATGTTTATAAAACAGAAATCACGTCCCTGAGAGAGAGGTGCTAATGGTGCAGCCTTAACGTTGCCTCTAATACCTAAATGTGCCGGTCTTTAGATGTCTTCCTAATTCATTAGGACTGAGTATGTAAGTGATGATTTCTCCCTTTGCAAAATTTCTACCTCAGCATTCCACAGGAAGGGCCAGACCATCTAGACAGTCTTTTTGGACAGCCTTAAGTCATAATTGAGTGATGTAGGGCTGGTTATTTAAAAGCTTTCATTTTATTTTCAATAAAAAAGGTTTTTTGTCAAGTTGATATTTTATGTAGAAATGATAAACAATTTTAAAACATTGAAAAACTAAACTTGCTCCCCATATAGATAAGCTCATTTTCCTAAATAGCTTATATTTCTGTAGATGTGGAGACAGGAATAAAATACTTTTTTAATTTCAAGGGGTTAATTTCTGAGCTGAATCTGAACTGAATTTAACTTCACTGCTACTGTATGTTAGGTACCCTGTGAAAACTGCAGTAAACTTTATGATATGATTTCACATCTGTTCTTCTCAGCTGTTCAGCTCAATTGGAGATGGGCTAAGAGCAGGAGCCACGAGCTAGCTCACTGTTCCTCCACTACCACTACCCCTCCATCCCCACATGCCACCTCCTGTGCCTCGCCACAAACTAACCTGTTGTTAAAGTGATCGTCGGCGAGGGTGGGCATGGTGTTGGCACTATCTCCATCTCCTTACACGTACACTCCATGGCTGATTAGAGCTCCTGATTTTTAACATTTCTCTTTTTCAGGTTTCTTATTCTCAATCCTATCTAAAGCAGGAAGAAAAACAAAGCCAGTTCAATCTTAATCTAACTTTATAAGCTAATAGTGTTCTGGAATATTAATAGCTGATACATGGCACCATTGCAATATAATCAATATTACAAGTAAATTAGGTGATAGTGTAAAAAGGACTCGGGGGAGGGATGTGGGTGGGTACCATTTTTGGTGTCTCTTAAGTCATAAACTATATAGAAGGCAAGTTCTGCATGGAAATATGATTTAGGTTCCAAGGTCCCATGCTCCTAGTAAAATGATCTGTTCTCCTCGATCCTCCACTCGCTCACGCACACTTGCATCCAGAGATGCAGGCTCCGGGGTGGTCAGATTCTTGGGTTGGTGTCTAGCAATAAGACCGTGGGCAAATTACTTAAACTCTCCATGCCTCAGTTTCTCACCTATAAATTTGGTACTTACCTCAGAAGGGTAGTCTCTTACTACTGTGCCTGGCACGTAGTAATTACTCTACAAGTGTGGTAAAAGCTCCAACAATGCCAGTTACCTGTGGTCACTGTCGTTGTCTTATTTTGGTTATTATTTTGATTCACTGGTGGGAAGATCCTCCCTAGCTGACAGTGTTCTTGCTTAATAAGCATATTCCGAAGTTGATTACCTGTGTATGACCACCAGTTAACAAGATTTTATCAAACTTATTTTCTATAGATTATATTAAGATAGTATAAATAGCATTCTTTTGTCTCCTATATGTACATGTGTATTTATAAAATTTTATTGACTAT